CTTCACCCCCAACCCCCAACCCCCAGCCCAACATCCTCAGGGCAGGCAGCCAGGGCACCGGAAGTTCTTGACACCGAGGAAGAGAAATTCGTAACTGAGGCCCACTCAGTCAGCAGTGGACCTATGAAAATGCAGAAAATAAGGAAAGATTGGGAGAGCTCCCTAGAAATTCTAGCACCATTTTGGTGTTTTGTTTTGTTTTTAATTGGGTCCCAGCTATTTTATCTAAAAGATGAAGGTGATTTTTTTAAGATAAGTTATCCATCCATTTAAGGACCAAATATTGACCTTAAATTTGGCCATCTAGTCTATTGGGGATGTTTGATCCAACAAACAAGATTTCCTGCAGTAACCTTAGCACATGGTTTGCTTGGTATCCGCTGAGGTTAGCAGGAGTCTTCTAAGGTTGGGTTAATTCTGCTTCTTTGCTGCCTCACTCAGGGCCAGTTGGATAAAGTGGGTTCTTGCCAGTTTAGTTACCTCTGTTTAGTTGAGAACTGGAAAAATGTCTGATCTCTATCAAACAGATATATAATTTTAATAAGACTCACTATGTTCCTTTTTGTTCACAGCTTCTAATTCTTCCACTGAACTTCAAGTCTGGACACTTCTTCTCATCATCACCCAGATTTCATTATGGCATTTTGTCTATAAATCAGGCATGACCTCATAATTAACTCAAGGTTGCTATATAAAGTACTGTAATTTACTTACCCAACTCCCTGTAGGATAAAATGTGTGTGCCCTTAAGTCAAAACCTATTTGAAAGTGTGCAGCATCTCAACGCCATGCCACCTGCCTCAAACGGTCAGAGATCTGGAAATGAGTGGAATTCCAAGCTCCTCTTTCAAAGTACACAACAGGGCTTCTAAAAGCCAGTTGTGGAAAGCATATATCTTGCCTAAACTTTCCAAACAGTTGTCACTAGAAACTTTGGTTCACGTAAATAACCAGTAAAGGAAAAAAAAAAATCTGGCTAGAAAAGTCTGACTGGAAATCTGACCAGAGAAATCTGTCAAACCAGTGCTGTTTCTGGATCATAGTTTTTACAAAGAGAGGGCCTATGGAACAATATTAAGAAGCAGTAACTGGGAGGTTTGACTCCCTCTGAAGAATCTTTCCGACGTTTGGACGTGTCTGATCTATGATATGCATGTGTTGCTTCCTTCTCTTTATAATGGACTCCTTCCCTAGCCCCGTGTCCTTCAACCTTGCCATGGCAGCTTGGTCACTGGGTATATTGTTTGCAGCCCTGGGAACCCTGCCCCCCGTAACCCCTCCCCTCAGACTCAATCCCTTCTCTTTTACAAATCAACCAAATAATTTTTAATGTGTTTTATGCTTAAATAAACTTTGTGTTCAAGTATTCTCATTACTTCGTGGCTGGAATCATTCTTACTGATGTTAAGCCTTACACACTAAATAGAACATTGTGATTTTAAAAAGGAGGCAGGAGCAGCAACAATTGGACCAGGTCTGCACTGCTGGGCCAGAGCTTCAATGCATTTTTGTTGTATGACTGTCCGTGTGTACCTACACAGCATTAGTAGGGCATTAAGGGGCTGTAGAAGAGAAGCAGGGAGCCCATTTACTATTGGGCTGTGGGGAAAATCATGACACATTTTTACAACGAAAAACAGAAAAAAATACGTCATGACTTTTCTGACAACCCAAAATAATTAACTACAAAATGGAGGGTCTGCTAAATATACCCCTGGAATGCATCTTTTTAAGGTTCAAAACAAAGTAAGGTCGTCTGAGTGGCTCAGTTGGTTAAGAGCTTGCTCAAGAGTGCAAACTCTGAGCAGGGTCACCGGTTCGATTTCCACATAAGCCAGTGACCTGCGCCCGAACGGAGCTGCTGCTGAGCTGCCAACAGGTGGCAGGATGGCTCAGCTGGTGAGAGCACGTGCTCCTCACAACAAGGTTGCCTGTTCGAGATGGTGGGCTCCGCCTGTCCACAACTAAAGACTGAACTCTGCACCTTGAGCTGAGTTGCCGCCCGGGTGGCTCAGAATAGAGCGCGCGCTCTTAACAACGAGGCTGCTGGTTCTACTCCAGCATGGGATGGTGGCTACGCCCACCGCAACTAATTGAACACAGCATTGTGGGCTGAGTGGTGCAACTGGACTTGGAGCTGAGCTTGCTGTGCCCTCCACAACTAAAATTGAAGGACAACAACTTGGCTGTTCCCTTCCCCCAACTCCCTAATTAAAAAAAAAAAAAAAAAGTAAAACCCCGAAGTTTTGTTTTAGATATAAGCCAACAGTTTTGAATTTTTCTGGAAACTGTGAAAAGCTGAGCAAAAATCCTTAGCCTCCTTGACCACGGGTGTGGATACAATTACTGTTCTCTTACACGTAAAGGCACCGCACTGTCACTGGTTGAAGCAGTGGGGTGCAGACTGAGCTGCTTTGTTCTGCCAGCCCCCTGGGAGCATCAACAAATGCTAGCATGTCTCAGCAATTAGACATGCTATGTGGCTAAGAGGATGACAGGGTATTGATGGAGAAAAATATGCATCTGCTTCAACTTGGACATACATCTTAAGATCTTTGGGGAAAATGCTGTGCGTTGAGATGAATTAAGGAATCAAACCATCTATTCTAGGTGAGACACAATGTCTCCCTCGCTGTGATAGAAATTGATGTTATATGCATGTTCTTTTTTTCACATGGATATTTCAGCTCCAGGCTGTCCCCCACTTCAAGATCAGAAGATTCAGATGAACTGATGCACCACACTCATTAAAGACTTAGGCTTTTACAATCAGACAGAATCTGAGTTGAACACAATGATGTCTCATTTATTTTCTTTACTTGATTTCCTTAGGTGAATTTTAAGTAAAAACATACAAGGAGGAAGTGTTTTAACATTTAATAACTCCTCTTTAATGATTTTCATGTCAAAGTCATTAGAAATTTCTATATTAAATACTACAGGGGGTTTTTTCACAGCTTTTTTTTTTTTAAAGATTTTTATTGGGGAATTGGGGGATGGGAACAGTGTTGGGGAATTGGGGGAAGGGGAACAGACAAGTTGCTGTCGTTTTGTTCTTCAGTCTAGTTGTGGAGGACGTTGCTTCCCTGGCCCAAGTTGGCACCATCATTGCGCTCTTCCTAGGTGAGACAGATCAGTCACTGGCTTCTGGACAGTCGCTCACTGTGGCTGCCGGCCGCTCACGCTGGCTGCTGGCTACACATGGTAGCCCATGGCAACCCACTGCCACAGGGGCTGCAGCCTATGCCGTCGCCAGCGACTCACGGCAGCCCAGCTCCAGGTTGAGCTGTTGTTCAGCNTTCATTCTAAAAAAAAATTGAGTTATTTGGTTGAGTTTTGGAGATTTTACAAGTTGAAGATGGAAGACCAAACTGTGCATTTTTGCCATATTTTGCTGTTTTATTTGCATAAAGGGAAGAATGTGCGTCAAGCTTGTGAAAAGTTGCATAAAGTTTATGGTGACAATGCTCTACAAGAACCTCAGTGCCAACGATGGTTCATGAAATTCCGTGCTGGTGATTTTGATCTCAATGATGCTCCTCGGTCAGGGAGGCCCACCGGGGTTAATGACAAGAAAACGAAGGCATTGATCGAGTCAAACCCATGTTACACGACACAAGAGATTGCAGAAACATTGAACATCCATCATTCAAGCATTCACGACCACCTGAAGAAGCTGGGATACATAAGCAAGCTCGATATTTGGGTTCCGCATGAACTCAAAAGTTTATTTGATGGTGCATATAAACATCTGCAATATGCTCATTAAATGTGAGGAAAACGATTCTTTTTTGAAGTGACTGATAACTGGTGATGAGAAGTGGGTTGTTTACAACAATGTGGTGCACAAACGGTCCTGGTCCCGATGTGATGATTCACCTCAAATGACATCGAAAGCAGACATTCATCAGAGGAAGGTTATGCTCTCAGTGTGGTGGGATTTTAAAGGTGACGTGTTTTTTTGAGGTCCTACCAAGGAACCAAACAATCAATTTGAATGTGTACTGTTGGCAATTGGACAGTTTGAACGAATCCATCATCCAGAAACGTCCAGATCTTGTTAATTGTAAAGGAGTTGTGTTCTATGGTGACAACACGAGACCACACACAAGTTTAATCACCCATCAAAAATTATTAGAGCTTGGGTCTGGCCGAGTAGCGCGATGATTAAGAACTGGCTTGGGATGCCAGAGGGCCCCGGTTCGGATCCCACATAGGAGGGCCAGTGACACTGCCCTCTACAGCTAAGATGCTGAACAACAGCTCAACCTGGAACTGGGCTGCTGTGAGTCACCAGTGACGGCATAGGCTGCANGGGCTGCAGCCTATGCCGTCGCCAGCGACTCACGGCAGCCCAGCTCCAGGTTGAGCTGTTGTTCAGCATCTTAGCTGTGGAGGGCAGTGTCACTGACTCTCATATGTGGGATCCGAACCGGGGCCTTCTGGCGTCCCATGCCAGTTCTTAACCAATGCGCCACTCGGCCAGCCCTTTTTACAGCTTTTTAATTAAATCCTTTTTTGTCATATTTTGGCCTTTTGGATTTCTCATTTGGTTAACTTGTCTTATCAACAGGATAAGCTAGGTGGAGGTGCCATAACAATAAAAAGAAAGGAAGAAAAAAATCTCAGAATCTCAGTGTTGAAAAAACAAAGATTTTTTTCTTGCTAGTGCCCGGGGGCTCTGAACCTCTTACTCACCCTGGGACAGAGGTTAATGGAGACTTCATTATCATTTTGTTTTTTCAACAGAATTTATTGAACAATTTATCCTTTCCCCACAGAACTTTATATATATCAAGTTTTAATCTCTGTGCGTGTTTGTGAACTCTTGATTCTATTCCATTGGTTTATTTTTCTGTTCCTTTGTCAACTTTTTAAATTGAGGTATAATTGACATATTAGTTTTAGGTACACATTAATGATTTGGTATGTGTATATTTTGGGAAATAATCACCACAATAAGTCTAGTTAACATCCATCACCACACGTAGTTACAACTTTTAAGATCTATTCTCTTAGCAACTTTAAAAAATACAATACAGTATTATTAACTATAGTCACCATCCTGTACGTTTTATCCCCAGAACGTATTTGTTTTATAACTGGACGTTTGTACTTTTTGACCACATTCACTCATTACACCCACTCCTCACTCCCTGCCTCTGGCAACTACCAATGTTCTCTGTATCCATTAAATTTATTTTTCAGATTCTACATATAAGATCATGCAATATGTGTCTTTCTCAGTCTGACTTACTTCATTTAGCATTATGCCCTCAAGTTCTATCCATGTTGTTGCAAACGGCAGGATTTCCTTCTTTTTTTTATGGCTGTAATAGTTGTGTGTGTGTGTGTGTCCAACCCAGTCATCTACTGATGGACACTTAGGTTGTTTTCATATCTTGGCTATTGTAAATAATGCTGCAATGAATATGGGAGTGCAGATATCTTTTCAAGTTAAGTGTTTTAATTTCTTTTGGCTAAATACCCAGAAGTGGTCTTGCTGGGTGATAGGGTAGCTCTATTCTTAATATTTTGAGGAAACCCCATATTGTTTTCTATAGTGGCTGTTCCAATTTACATTCTCTCAAACAATGCACGAAAGTTCCCTTTTTTGTTGAGGCTTCATTATCTTTTGGTGCTGCCAGCTCAACACAAGACTTTTGGGGCTCACCTTGGCAAGGGAAGAGAATGTGGAGAATCACACCCCACAAGGGACACATATCACTTCTATTTCCATTTCATTGGCCAAAGCAAGATATATAGCTGTAACTAACTTATAGAAATCAGGGAATCGTGAAATTCCCATGAGCATGGGAAGAAGAACTGAAAATCTGTGGTGACAGTTTCCACACTGCCTTTGAGCCAGCCACTCCTATTTGTATTAAAGAGAAATATATCTACAGAACTAAAGATAAACGGTCCCCTTAACTGATTATCTGGAAGGTAGAATTGGAAGATGATCCTCACTCTTCTATTAATTCTCTGCATGAAATCATTCGATATCACAATACTTTAACTTTCCTCTCTATAAAATGAGAACATTAAACTTCAAATATTCTTATGTTAGAAAATGATACTATACAGATGTAAACCATATGACAGTATATATTTAGATAACTCCAGAACATTGCTTTTTCCTGCCACTCAAAAAGATTTGCCTCAAGGAAGGGTGAAAAAAATGCACATGCTTAGAAAGGTTAAAAAGAAATTTAATTGGGACTCTTATTAACTTCATATTTGTCAGATAGCAAAGGAAACAACACCTTGGGGTCTGGTATTTCTGACAGTTGGGAATACTACAGTTAGTTTCTTTTTATTCTAATTTTTAAATTTTTTTATTTAAACATTCTTTTACCAACTGTGCTCTAC